AGGCCTGCGTGGTTGCTTCGATTGCACACACACTTGACACTTAGAATCTTTAACTAAGTTAAATTTCGAGATTAAATTCAGATTTGCAAGCCGCGTGAGATAACCAAAATTAATGTGACAAAGTCATGAATGCCATATATTCAACTCATCCGAAACAATAACATTGTTCACTACTTTATTACACACATCATCAAGCAAAGATAAGCGGAATAAGCCTCCGCAATCATAACCTTTTCCGACAAATGTTCCATGTCTCGACACAACACATTTATTGGACTCAAGCACAATTTTAAAGCCATCGCTAACAAGATTCTTCTTGATGGAGGGGACATGTTGCACGTTCTTTAATAGCACCGTCTTTCCCGAAGTAAACTTCAGAACGACCGTACCAGCACCAAAAATACGCGCATGCGAACTGTTTCCCATCAGCAAGGCTCCAGTCCTACCGGCCTGATAGGAAGTAAACAAAGAAACATCAGCACACACATGAATATTAGCACCGCTGTCCATCCACCACTCAGGTGAAAGACAAACCGAAAGAACAAAGGGTAAAGAATTACCATACCCAGATGTTTCTCCTCCAGTCTCGCTAATTACCATGTTTGCTGATTTCTTTTCTTGCTTATATTTACGGTCTGGGCACGCACTTACCTAATGCTCATCACTCCCGCAAACCAAGCAACCTCCACCTTTCTTGTTGTTTTTCTTCTTAAACTGTGCAGTCTGCTTAGGTTTTGCATTGTTGTTCTCTTGCATGTTCTTCTTCTTTTTATTACAAGATGCAAATGAGTTTTTCTTCTACACCATATTGGCAGCGGAAGACTCAACTCATTTTCCACGATTGTCTTTTTGCTCTCGCCCTCTCCTCAACATCAAAAGATCCAATAAGCTCAGCCATGCTAAACTCTTATCTATTGTGTTTTAGAGAAGTAGCAAAATCCCTCCAAGATGGTGGCAACTTAGCGATTATACCGCCAGCCACAAACTTGTTGGGCAACAGACAAGGGAAATGTTCTAGTTCCTTCGCTAGCGCCTATATCTCATGAGCCTATTCGACCACAAAACGGTTTTCAACCATTTTGTAGTCATCATACAGCAGCTCCATAAGGTACAGCTCACTGCCAGCATCAGAAACCCCAAACTTTGCCTCAAGAGCATCCCATAACTCTTTGCCTGATGTGCAAGATATGTAGTTTTTCTCATACTTGGGATGAAGTGCACTAATCACGGCGCCTCGAAACAGGTTATCGGCAGCCAAGAACTTTCGCTCCTCCTCAGGAGTAAACTGTTCAGGCTTCCCCTATGCGGCGTGATAACAGTTCATCGTAGTCAACCACAATACCATCTTTGCACGCCGTATCATAAAATTATTGCCATCAAAATTATTCGGCTTCAAAGTAGCAGCAAATCCACTGACAGAAAATTGACTATTATTAGGTTTTTGGATTGTTAGGTATTTAGGCATTTTCATTATCAGTTTAATCTAGAAATATATGTGCATGTGTATATTTCTTATGAACGCTATAGCATGCATAGATGACATACAGATCGATACAGTAAAAATATAAAATACAGTAATTATAGAGATTAGACTGTACCCAGCGGAGGGTCCCATGCCGAGAGCATCGGAAGCTCCATTCGCACTAGTCGACATAGTGCGTTGCTCGAAGTCACAGACCACAGTCGATGCAGGAAGATATTCGCAGTGCAGTCCCATGAACGGATCACCAGGAAGAAGATGTCTTGACGTTCCAGGGAGAAGACGGATCCAAGAGCGATATCCAGCAGGACGAAGATGGACGAGCAGACGCGGATCGCTCCCCAAAAACCTAATCGCCGCTCACCCCGTGCAGGATTCTCAGGCGACCGAGGGTTCTGAAGGCACCTGCTCTCCCGCTCCTCCGTGCGCGCAGAGGTACGGGACGGGGAAGTCAGAAGGCTGCTGATCTGTGTTTCTCTCGGGAACGGTTGCGGAAGACAGATCTGGACTGACGGAAGACGGGATATATGGCTATGACTGGGGAAGGAGACGAAGGCAGCGGAGAATCCTAGGAGACGGGAAGCGGAAGCGGAAGGGACGGTAACTGACGCAGTCAGTTCGCCTCCACCATCAAGGAGCGAAACTCCCGTGATAATGTGGATTTAAGTGGCAAAAGACTGGCCACGCCCGTCCGCTCGCTCACCGCCCGCTTGCCTGCCTCGCCGCGGCCACGGCCCGGCCTGACCGGCGGCAGCGGCGGCGCGCGCGTGTGGCACACCTTTATCCTTTTCTCAGCTTCTCAATTTAGATGAATAATTTCCAACCATATAAGCCGAGTCAGCGTTCAGTCAAAATCCCGTATGGTATTAAGCCATACAACACTTAATGTTACATACCATAGAGTTTTATTTGATTTATTAAATATTATATGGGCTAAGCCCATATTATATCCAACAAGGGTGGGAGGATTGGAACGATAGAGGAATGAGTTGCTGGCATCTTCCTTCTAGATCTGTGGGAACAGGTGAAGGCCTGAGGAGGAGGCGGCGGGATGAGCTGAGGAGTGCGAGGAAAAGAGATGAATAGATTAGGGTTCCGAGCAGCGCGAAGCTATAATACTTTCAATCTGCGAGACGAGAGGAGTTGGTGGTCTTGTGAGGAGCACGCGGCTATAGGTACTTTGAAAATTTTTGGCATTTTGCGCGGGAGCCGGTGTCAATTTGATTTTTATGATTTTATTTAATAAAATATTATTTGAATATATTGCTTGGTCCTCGAATTTAGTTTATAGTTCAATGTATTATTTATCACACTTAGATCAATTGTGAGGCCATTTTAATAATAAGTAGAAATGTATTCATTAAAAGTTACATCATTGTGAAAGAATTATTGTATTTAATTTATTATAAACGAACATGTGAAACAAAAGTTTAATTTGATTTTCACATATGTAAGAAAGATAGATTTATGTATTAATCACCTTTGAATCTAGTAGTGACCGGTGAGAATGGACACTTTTAGGGCCCCTTTGGCGTAGCTCCTAACCCCAGCTTCACTCTTTGGCTAGCCGAACCGATTCTGTTTCTTGCAAGAAATGAAAGAATCGAACCCAAACGCTCTAGACGTGAAATGTTCCACCAGTTTCGTGATTTTTTTCCTACGGGAGAGAAATGGGAGTAGGCTGGTTTCGCTGTTTCCGATTATACTCTCCCCCATATGCACTAGAGATTGTTTTTTCCTTAATCTTTTTTATTGCAATAATTTTTAAATGGCTTGCGTTTAGGTTGTTATTTGCCAATAAATAATCAAGATTTTGTGAAGCATATTTCTATTTTATATGATTTTTTAAAGAAAACATTTACTTAGGAAACAGAATCCAGCCTAACAGCCAAATTGTTTCATGATGTGTTTCTCATTCACCACTTAAAACGTTTCTTCAGAGAATCTACATCTGAAACATTTCTACAAGAATTTTGAACCCTACCAAATGGCTCCTTAGCTTTCGCGGAGCCCTACCAAACACTTAGGGCCTCTTTGGCACTTACGGCTGACCGGTGGGGGCCTTCCCGTATAAAAAAAAATCCTATTTTTTCGCCCAGATTTGTGAATTTTGTGAAACGGATTTGTGGGGGCGGCTCAATATCCAGCCGCGCCTACAAATAGTGAGCCACCCGGCGGCTGGCCAACCACCCCTACAAATCGGCTATTTGTAGCCACCCTTTGGTAGGGGCGGCCCCTACAAATCATCAGGAACCGCCCCTACAAATTATATGTGTAGTAGTGCATACAACTGGATTCTGGTGAGGAGCTGACCAGAATCACTTCTCTATTTACACTACGAGTTGGGAGCTAAAAAAAACCGCTCTCCACCGCTTTACTGCACTGTAGTAGTGAATTGAGAATGGTCCCGATGCAATGCACGAGCATATATATCTAATAAGATATGAAAATATAAGTATATTATAAACTCTCTCAACATATTAAATTAAAATGATATTATTTATCATTGGTTATATTAACTTAATTAGAAATGTCAAATTGCTTTCTTAGTTATATAGAAATTAATTAAATTTTCTTTTAGTGAATTAAGTTTTGTTTTTTAGTTTTTCCCTTCTTTGTTGTACTTGTTCTTCTTGTGATCCGGCATCTAGAGTATCTTGAGTTTGGCCTAATAAATTGACAACAGACTCTGGCATTGGACTAACTTTTTTAATCGCTTACTCATTGCTACTTAGTTCTCATGTGATGACCACGATGTGATTGCCTAACAGCCTTGATGACACCTAGGTGCGATGTTCGTGTCGCCTATGAATAGGAAGGTCCACATGTATATGTTTCTTTGTAACACTTGGACTGTAACATTATTTTGTGTTACTACAGGATATATATTTGTAACATATTTTATATGTTCCATTTATGTGTTACGCTTTTGTAATATTTTGCTTGTAACATTAATTTTGTGTTACTGTAATTATTGTTAGTAACATATTTTTATAAAAAAAAGTGTTTTGTGTTACAACCGAAGTCTGTAACACACTATTTTGTGTTACTATGAAATTTCGCTAGAACACATTGATGAATATGTTACAAGAAAGTGATACAATATCCTTGTTTTGTAGTAGTGATACCAAAAGAACAAAATAAAAAGTAAAACAACTGAAATAATAATATCTATTACAGGCTTATAGAAAAGCCAGAAACAATAATCATACATATCTTAGTTGTTTCCTGTAGGGAATTATAAGTGCATAATTACATATTATACTATTCGATAGTATAATTATTTGAGATCCCAAATTAAGTAGGTCTGGCTATTTATGGTCCATATAGTAGTAAAGTAGTTCTTGTTCGCTCCAGTATTTATGTTACTCTCAATTAGGCAACACATACACAAATGAGGTTCAGTACAGGATGTAATAATACTCTACACATAGGCTGTCATTATTCAGGACATGGCATATAAGTGCACATTATTACGTAGTTATGTTTCGTGGTATGATGCATGTTTATAGTGATAGAATCACTCATCTGCCTCGAAATTCCATAAATACGTCGTTTCAGATCCCTGTTTATCTGAATCCCATCTGAAATCCTGGAAACCTTGAGGTGAGTTGTAGTTGTTTCGTTCTCCCAGCATACAGTCTGAGCCACTTGAGATGTCATCCTTGGGCAAAGAGTAGTCTGTGATCTCCAAGCATCCATCTTGATCAAAATAAGTTGAATTCAAAGAACTGTTGAATTCGGTTCTGAGAATGTTTGATTCATTGGGATGGCTTGATTTTGAAGCCGTGTCATCCTTGTGCAATGTTTGATTCAATTTTTGTAGGTGAAGCCTGTATTTCTGCATTAGATTTTTGAAGTAGAATTTTTATGGTTCATCAGTATATCCATAAACAACATAATCATATTACAGGAGTATTACAAAATGAAATGATCCATATGCAGTTCTAGAACGAATTTTATTTGAGCTAGCTAGGTTAGCACATGCAAAATAATTGTATTTTTATATACGTTTGCGTTAGCATTAACATCATGGATTTTTAATGGAGATATCTATCATATGCATGCAACTTGTTCTCTTGTCCAATGTTTAACCTATATAGGAGATATATTTGTCTGGCATGCATGCCTTTGCCTTGTACAAGAACATATATATCAGATCAATATACTAATTAATTACCTGCAGGTGGCTTGCAACTTGTTCTCTTGTCAAATGTTTAACCTTCATTGTCTCCAGTATCTTCTTTGGAACTGCCTCTGTAAACCAAGTAACAAATATATATAATTAACACAAAGAAAATACGAACTATGTTAATATACGAACATGCTTAAAAACTTAGGAAATGTGGTTGATCACTACTCACTTTCCCCCAGGGAATTAACAGCTGTAACGAATTGGCGGTGCAGCTGTAAGGTCCAGCTGAGCCTTGACTTCCTGAGATCCTGTATATCTGTGACCGTCCCGTTAGTCATCTCTCTTGTCGCGCTCTCCAGTGTCACCGTGGCGGCTTCAGTGATTATTCCTGTGGTTCTTGTGGCACATGTAGAAGCAGGAGCTATGGTTGGTGGATATGAAACCTGATCGAGGTGTTGAGCATTGTTGCTGCTGCTTCTGTTGTTCTTCCCGATCAGCTGCTTCCGGAACACATGCTGCCATATGTTCTTCAGCACTTCAATTCTCACAGGCTTTATCAGGAAATCGGAAGCCCCACTGGTGATGTACTTCATAACTATGCTCGCATCACCGTTTGAAGACATTACTGGTTAACATGGATATAATGAAAAGCTTAGTGAACACATGCATAGCTCGTATCACCGTTTGAAAACATTACTGGTTAACATGGAAGGTACATACTTCTAAACTCAATACTGGAATAGCTAACCCTTATCTAGGACCAGAATATATTTAATCTTCACTACAGCCGGCACATATGCAAGTATTTGTACTACTTACCAAATCATAGACCCGAGGCCATCAAGAGGTTTATGGCAAGCAAAATCAGAAACAAAAAATAAAACCGTCATGCAAGGAGAATAAATAAACTAATGCATTTTTCTGATAAATTTGAGAAAAATTTCTATGTGGAATAGATAATAAATACTCCCTCTATTTTAAATTATAAGTTGCTTTGACTTTTTTTTTTATATATCCATTTTGCTATGCATCTAGATATATATGTCTAGATACATAGCAAAATGGATGAACCCAAAAAGTCAAAGCGACTTATAATTTGGAGAAGAGGGAGTAATAGAGATGTAGATAAACTTAGTCACAGGAGATGTGGCAAGCAAAATAAAAAAAAATATCATGCAAGCAGAATAAAAACTAATGGATCTATGTGAAAAATTATTAAGAAACTTTCTATAGAGAATGGAGAGTACTCTCTCCATTCTGAAATACAAGGTATTGAAGGTTTAAAACTTGTCCCAAATTATATGGTGTTATGAATTATATTGCTAACCTCACACATATATGTGCTTGCCTTTGAAACACCTTCCAAGCATGCTTTTTTGCGAACACATGGTTGATATGTGTCCATGTGTGAGTGATGAGTGACTGTTAATGAGGTGACCGGTACTTTGGTTAAGTGTGTGTGAGACTAACCATAGCTTGAGTGAATTATGTGTGCAACGTCTCTTGGATTTGTGATGTGCAGGTTTGAGTGTGAGATGGTCAACGACAATGGAGAAGGATGAGGACTCCGTGTGCGATGAGACAGGAGCGGTGAAGGGTGGACCTGAAGGCTTGAACCGAGGGCCAAACGATGGACCGTGGACGGCTAGCACTTGGACACGTCCACAAGCAATTGTACATGCAAGGATGGTGATGGAGATGGTGTTGACCAAAGATAAGATGGCGACTGGACCAAGTCAAGGCAGGTGTGCGAGCACTTGGTGATCATCCATTCAAGGACGAGTGGGACACATGTCGACATCATGGAGAAGGTGTAGCGGCTATGCGACTCCAAGTGGGTTTGGCGGTTTAGGCCTCAAAACCGTGGGCGGCAGGTTTGCCAGGTTTGTCCTCAAAACCTGAGGGAGGATCTCAGGGCAGCACGTGGCGTCATGAGCTCACGTTGAGGCGAAGCGACTTCATGAAAAGGCTCATGGCCATCCGATGCATGGAAACCAATTTGGACCATTTCGCCCCTATGGCTAAGTGGTTCAAGCCTAAAGCAAGGGGCACTCTTAGAATTATGTAATAGCCCTATAAATAATGATAGAGGCTGGCCAAGACAGCCATCTCTTCCACCCCAAGTTATTTCCTTAGGCTAGTCAAGTGCTTCTTGTGAGGGAGATTAGAAGTAGAGACATACAAGGATCTCTTGCTCTATTTTCCATGTCTAGTGGGAGGATGAAGGCAGGAGGCTAGACCTGGTCATGTAAAGAAGATTTCATGGTTATTTAATTAAGTTGTTGGCTGAAATATCGAGTTCATCCTTTTTTTTGCTTCGGTTTTTCCTTTTTCGATGATTTTCGTGGTCATTTTTAGTGTTTTTCAACCTACTGGTTTGGCCGTGTTGTAGCCTCGGTTTTGGAGTGTTTTGGGACTCTTGGAACTTGTTCAAACCATGGCTTGAAGCCTAGCTCTCATCTTGCAAGTTTTCCTTCCCAAAACTCACCTTTTCAAGCCTCTTCTGGTGATTTTCTTGGAGATCTTTGATCTGAAGATTTTGGAAGGTGTGTGCCAGGTTTCAAAATTTTTGGAACTTGTTTGAATTCATTTTGAGTTTTTCTTGGAGAGGATTCTGTTCAAAACAGCAAAAGGCCGTTTTTTCAAATTGCTCCGATTGAGCTGATTTTTGGTGGAGATCTTCTCTATAGTGTTACAACCTTTTTCACAAAATTCCATGATTTTTTAGTCATTTGTTCAGTTTTTGAATTTTCTTGTTCCCTGAGCTATGTTCTGAAAAAATTGGCTTAGGCCGGTTTGGAAACTAGCCCAGGCCAATTTTTTGTGTTGGTTTCCGAGTTTGCTCGTTTTGATCTCTATTTCCATATCTTCTCAACCTAGTTTCTAAAGTCCATAGATCTGTTGTGACTACGTTTTTTTGACTAGTTGTGTTTGTGAGGTTCGTGGGTGGTATCGGGATATAGGCCTCCACGCTATAATTCTTGATAAGAAAATTTTGAGGCTCCCACTCACCCACCCCTCTCTAGTTGTTGTTTCCGGTCCTTCACTTTTAAACACTATGTTATGCAAAATAACTTCTATAATAGGTAGCAAAAAAACAGTGACATGCATGTTTTTTTAAACCATGCATCACTAGAAAATTAAGCAAGCTAATAACCAAACTAACTAACTAATGAGAGGCGGGTTATTAGTCTTTTTTGCCAGACTCCTTATACGGTTCTAAAATTGTTGGGATACCTTGTACTTTTAAGACGGAACGAGTAAAGAATAGAGAGCCAGAGAAACTTACTCACGGTAGGGATGTCAAACTTTGAGGTAACTTCTTGCAGAACAAGTAAACCGTCTTCAGTTGGAAAGAACACATCGCTAATTACGAGGTCAACAATTTGTATGTTGCCATAGATGAAGGACATTGCTTCCCTGACGTCCTTATACGACATAACTGGATGTGATTGAGGGCTAAACTATGTCAGAAAGTAATACGATTATGTGTTATACTGAATTAAAAGAATCATCTTACATTGAACATTGTTGACCTAATTAACTTTCTGTATGAATAGTTCAAGAGGATCCATATATACAGATGATATCGTTGACCAGAGTTAAGATTGTCTCTTGTCTCTTGTATAATTAAATATATTCTACAACTAGGAGGGTTTATACGGTTGGAGACCGCATGGTCTTACATGCAGTTGGGTTTTAAAACTATAATAATGAAATGCGTTAAGGGTAATAAAGCTTTATCCATCATGATATTATAAACGTAAATACAACTAGAATGTTTTTTAATAAATATAATATCTCTAATGAATTACCCTTGTAGCTGCACTTGATAAGTAGTTCTTCCATAACTGACAAATATGAAGAATTGTTATCAATAACAAGGACCCTTAGCCCAGAAGGCCACAGCTCCCGGTCCATTCAACCTGATTATCAAGAGTGAGAGAGAGCAAAATTTTACTCCATGGTAGGCCACATAGATATACTAGCATATTTACCCTTCAATCCATCACTACTAGAAAACTACCTGTACAGTTGTTTTTAGGCACCTTCAATAATAGAGTCAACTTTTTAGCTCATATAAACATAAAAAAAAAAGATAAAAATGGAGTAACATATATAACATGCTAGTATAGAAAAATGTGTAAGCATGCATAGACATATGAACCATAGGAAAATGTATGAGCTTAGCTCTTCATGAAGAGCTTATAGCTTATCATTCTCTCTTATTCTATGAGCTAGCTGTTAACATTATATTGCTGGAGCTGCCCTTGTTACATCCAACTTGGACTTAAATACATCATGTCAGTCATTCAGTTAATTAGTAATGTATCACATATATTTTTGTTCGATGTTTCATTCTTAGTTTTATACCATTCCATGTCATCTGGGAGTTCTTGAATGAACCTATAGAAGAAGTCAAACTTAACATTCCAAGTTAGCTATATATATGTGCACACTGCATACGATCTCCTGCAGACCTTCCTCTAGTGTATATTACTAATATGAGATTTCACAGCCATCAATTTATCTCTACACTAGCATCCCAATGCAAATTTGCAAAAAGGATTGATGAAGCTGAATACAGAAAATCGTGGATGTCTGAGAGCAAGTTAGCAGGCGAACTGACAACTTAAACCAAAAAGCTAGCCATGTCCATGCCAGTAGCACCTTAATATGATCGAGCGCTAGCTGTGTGTTGAAAGCACTTAACATAAGTTCGCAGATCATAGTACCGGACAAAGTCATGACGTATATTCAGATATCATTAGTATATTTCACATGCGATATTGAAGAAAACACTTACCTCACGGCTATGGAGCAACAGATGGAGCTATATATATATCCGATGCAGCGATCACACACCGGGATATGATGGTCTCCAAGTTAGCTGGTGTTCCGACATATGCAACAAATAATACTGCTTGAAGATGTGAAATACAGTATCCGGCTTATGTGCTTCTGCTCCAAGATGCATGATACATGGAGATCGGCCGGGGGGGCATGTGTGGTACAAGGAAGGAATATGATATAGCTAGGAGAGGACTGAGCGAGAGGAGTATATATCGTCTCGGTTCATCAGGCTCTGGCTGAGGGAAAAAGGGTCCAGAGGAATCAATTTGACAGCTGCTGGAGGCAGACTAACTCGATCCGCCGTCGCCCACGTGGAGCTCACCACCTCCACACCCTAACGTGAGGTGGTGGTGGCTGGCAAAATGCACTGCGGTCACCGTCGTCGTCGACACGAGCATATATCTCTATACCCGGCCGTTGCTATCTCCCTAGCTAGCTCGTCATCACCTTACTCCCAACTATTAACTAGCTATATGGGCTCATGGACGCTTTACTTTGCAGTAAAAGCAGTTTCCATCATCAGCTGCCCCCTAGCTTTTTCATATGGGCGAATGGACGCTTTGCAGCTATATATATGCTTGGATGCGTCCAATATATCCGTTCCGATCCACAGTTGCTAGCTGTCCTCTAGCAACATCGACAACGAGGGCGTACGCCTGCCCGTGCGCCGCGCTTTTCCACGGCCATGTGAACCAAATGCGACACCAGCGACGGCGACGTTGGTCATCGAGGACGGGAACGAAATTCAAAAGCTACCAATCAAGCCAAA